ATTCCTAGTACTGAATACGATCTAGATCTGAGCTGAACTGAATACTTCCAAAATTTGTCATCGAGCCAAACTTGAGAAGACGAACACATGTTCCAGTAATATCTATGTCATTTAGGTATTGACATAGCTTTAGGGTTGATCTACTCACTTAAATTATTTTCCATTACCTTTAAAGGTAGTCCAATACCTATGCTTACTTGGATTCCTTAATTAATCCAAGACATTTACTTAATTTAGGCCATAAGGGTATTTTGGTAATTTTGATGTTCAGTTTTATTCCATTCATTTCAGAGCTCGAGGATATTCAATCATTCCTGAGCTTGGTGATATTCTTGGGTCATTTCTATTACAGGGGTATTTTGGTCATTTTATAGATCCACGGTATTTCAATCTTTTTCCTTCATCCGGTCTTATTATTTAATTCTAATTTATCATCTATTCCAGTTCGTTCGAACAATTCTGATAAAAGAGCACCCTCCGATAAATTGTTCTTCAGGTATTTACTCATAACTTAGATATTTTCGGGTCAAGTGCCTTCTCGGATTTTACAAACGCAATATTATGAATTTTTCTTTACAAAGACAGAATATTAATAATTAAATTTGTACTTAATCGAGTTAAGTACAAATCCTCAAAGTACTTTCTCCTTCAGGGTCAACTCTGACTATTTTAACTCTCAAGGGCATTTTCGTAATTTCTTAACCATATAATTTCGATATTAGCTCTTAACGAAAATAATATAATTTAGAGATCCTATGATTAATTGCTTTCTTGAACACTCTCTGATCTTGAAATAATTCCATTAACACACTTCTAGTATCTTGCATAAACCCTCTTGGGGTTAAAAATCGGTTATCCATAATTTCTAAGTATAACTATCATTTCTTATGCTCATCAATATATTTATCGTATTAATATGTCTTTTCAGATTTATTAATCCACTTCCAGGGACAATTCTTATCATTTTCCAATATAAGGGTAATTTCGTATTTTTACCATACCGAAGTATTCTCATAATTTCACATCCAAGTACCTTTAACATTTAACCTTTGATGATATAAAATATAATTTACAAATCCATGTCTGATTTCTTTATCACTATTCAAAAACTTGTAATTTAATCCTAAAAATCTTTCAATCTCTTATATTAGTCATTCGATCCGTATTCAGTTACAGAATTTCTACCACATTCATATCGAGTGAATAAATTATTCAACTCCACAAAAGTGACCAACATTATCTTATTCATGCATTTACCAATATCAATATGTTCCATAAAGCATAAAGAGGTAGTAAAGTATTACCTCGATTTTTGTGCAATACTGATCGACCATAAAAATTCCATTCGAACGCCTTTGATCTTCAATTCAACTTCCAATAATTCCTCAGATACATATCAACATAAATTATATCAGAAACGGAGCTTAATTACGATAAACGGATCGAATCGGGTGATAAATCAGTGAAAGATGGCTTACCAGGTTCGAATTTGGCAAAACGGACTTCGGATTCGGATTCAGGACGTCGAAAGCATAAAATATGACTTTTCGGAAATTTGGAATTTTCTGTCAAAATCAAAGTCAACGGGTTTGACTGGAAATTTCGAGACCTTCGGGTTCGAATTTCGAAAATCGAACAACGGAATCGGATTTGGAACGTCGAAAAATGTCAGGATAGATATACTCGGTCGAAGTCAAAGGTCGTTTAATACCCGGTCAAAGCCGGTCAAAGTTTTGGTCAACAGTGGTCAACGCCGGTTAACGGTCAATGAGTCAACGGGTGTCAATGGGTCGGGTCAACGGATCGGGTCGGGTAAACGGGTCGGGTCGGGTCGGTTTGGGTTATGACCGGTCAAAACAGTTCCAAAACTGGTCAAACCGGTCACTTTTTCCTTCCCCACGCGCAGTGGCGGCCCGTGGGGGCGCGTGAACAGTGCTAAAATCCCTGAAAATTTTCTAAAAATTATTTTGAGCGATTTCGAGATACTTACAAAGCTCGGTTCACAATTTTGAACGGCGGAGAGCTCGATTTCAACAAATCAGAAACTTTGACCGCTTCACCTCCTCACGCGCCGCCGTCGACGGAGACCAAGGATGACACCGGCAAACTCGGAACGATGCAACGAACACGATGGTGCGGGAGGTGTCATAAACGGATGACCCGATCGTCGTGAATCGATGAAAAACCAACTAAAACTGAATTATTACCGACGATACTTCCGACTGAAATTAACGACAAACGGAGACGATTCACGACGAAAGGTTTGAGGGGTTTTGTTCGTCGGTTGACAATGAACACGATGGTGGTTTCGGCTCGTCGATCGGAGGTCGGACGGCGAGTAAATCGGAGTTGAAAGGAGGGTAGTTGGAGAAGATAAAACTGGAAAATTATACTGAACTGCGCACGAGGAAGAGTTTTATAACTCAACCTATATAAAAATTGGGTAAACCAAGAGTTTAGTCACTGAACTTCCTGCACTTCTTAAAACGGTCTGCAAACTTTGAAATTTTACAATTTAATCTACTGTTTCTTTCAAAATACCAATTAAATCCACCACTTTATAATTTCTTAAAATTTAGCCCCTAAATTGGGATGTTACACCTTCAATATTATAAATTAATACTTCTATTAAACTTATTAAATTAAACCAAAATTAGGACCAAAATTAGAGAACTTATAAGTTATAAGGATTAAATATGTAATTATATCAATTTGGTTCCGTCAAATGTTAACGACAGCAGACTATGTTGAGCCTAATTAATTAGTTAAGCGGTCATATTGATGAAATTTTGAAAATGGTGGTTATTTCGATACTAACCCTATAGTTAGGTGATCATTCAAGTAGTTTACCCTTATTATTATTTAACCAAGAAAGGATGGAAATTGAAAGGAAAAAAAAAAGGTTTAGAAGGAGAAATTGAAAGATGTGTTGTGCAACGAGGCAGACTTCAGGTTTAACACGCATTTTGCATGCAACAACAACGCCTTTTCAACTCTTGCTTGCTTCCGTTGAAAATTGTTTCATTGCTATAATTTTTTTTATAATTTCATTGATTTTATTTTTATCTTTAAATATAAATTTAAGGTTATGATATTTTCAGCCCTCGAACATTTAAAAGAATCATTTTGGTCTTTAATTTTTTTTTTATCCTTGAACTTGTAATCGTTTTTCTTTATCAAAATAAACTAATTGACAAGAAAAATAACGGAATTTTAACAAATTTCATGTTCTTTTGCAATTTTAATTTTTTTATTTATTGTATAAAAATAAAACAAATTATGTCAATTTAATATATGTGTTAACTTTTTTATCAGCTAGTTCTATTTTTAAAAAATATAAGTTTATGGGTCAAAAGAAATAAAAAATTAAAGATAAATATCATTAAATCTAAAATTTAATATGACGAAGGCACAAATTCTGAAATCATTTAACAAATCCACATTTATATATATTATTGTATAATTTACACTAATGAATGTTCCAAGTTTCTTTTATTAGAGTTGTAATTAGAGATGGATGTACTTGGCTTCATATGGGAGTAAATGCATCCTATTATTTAAAAAAATATAAAATTTAGTTTAAAATGTTAAAAAACGTAAAAAAAAATTACATACTCAATATTTTTAAAAAAATATATACTGGAAGTACAAAAGTAAAGTCTTTAAGGCCACAACTATAATTAAAGGGTTTAAATTGAGATACCGAACCCCCTAATGGCCTATACAACTTTAGCAGCCTCCTCCTCTATGTGGAGTCACTATTAGGCAAAAGCTATTAAACTATTTTTCACTAATAATTGGACCCAAATTATATGGTTGCCATAATTAAGGGTTTGCTTCTCCTCATTGGCCATTTAACCAAGCCACTACATGCATTTATTTGGTAATAACACATCTTCGTGTGATGATTATAAGATAGTATATGTTTATAATTTTTCTTGACCATTAAAAATGTAATCTTGACCATTAAAAATGTAAACAAGTCCTAGAAATATAACTGTTCGAGCTTATAACCTCAAGAGAGAACAACACTCCCTTTTAAATAAGGTGAAGGCTTGAAGCCTTGAAGTGCTAAGATATACAAGTACTAAGCAATTGGTTTGACAGAGTAAGATGATTGAAGGTTTGATGTAGTTAAAAAGATATATTTAGAAGAGTTATTGTTTGATTTATTATTACTGGAAAAAAATAATTTCACAAGCAATTTTAAGATTATGATAAGTGTGTTTAAATTAATTTTAAAAACAACTAAATACAACATTTAATAAGTAAAATATTAATAAGTTCAAACACCATGAATGTTCAGGGGTGTGAGCGTTCAATGTCAAATGATTAAAAGTCTTTTGTTGAACATGTACTATCTTGTACTTATCCTTTGTTAATAAAAAAAATTGACAATAGATGTAATTTCACAAGCAATTTTAAGATTATGATGTGTGTGTTTAGAATTTTTTGACATTATATAATGTAAACTAATATAATGAAATTATTATTATTTTTCTGAAATGCAAAAATACAGTGATGTAAAAGACATCAGGAAAAACTGATCCAATCAAAGACAAGCAAAAAGATCCAAAATTTTACAACTTTGATAAATATTCTTTGAAGGACGGTAGTTGAAAAGGATTAGAAAACTGTGTTAGTCATACTTATTTAGTAAAATAAAAATTACAATTATAATTGCCAACATGTCAGTTCCACGATTGTCAGTCAAAGATGTTCAAAGTCTACTGTGTTGGTCATAACTAACTTAATAGAAAAACATGGTTTAAGTGAATCTAGAAACTTAGAATTTTCCATTTCTGCTACCAAGAACTTGCGCGTCTAATTTACAGTTCCAGACAAACTTTGGTTAGATCGAATCTGTTTTAACAACCCCAAAATATTATATGTTAATCTGAGACCAATGAGACGAAAGCTTACCTTTTTATTGCTGAAATCCCAGTCTTTAGCTGCTGCTATAAATGAGAATCAATAACAATGGAACAGATATAGAACTGAAAGAAAACGAAACATGTGGGCTGTTAAAAAGCTTACCATTTTTGTTTTCCACCTTCTGCTTCTGTTCTTACGTCCTTTGATGATTACTTCTTCAGCAAGATCACAAGGGGAAGCCCTTGTTCAATGGAAGAACACTTTGCTTTACTCTTCGATAACTCTCGAATCTTGGTCCCTGCAAAACATTAACAACCTCTGCAACTGGTCTTCAGTTGCCTGTGATAGTTCTGGCATGGTATCTGGAATAGAACTGTTGAGTTCAAACATCAGTGGAACGCTCACCGGGTTCGATTTCATGCAGTTTGTCAATCTCACGCACTTTGATGTCAAGAACAACAGTCTGAATGGACCAATACCGGTCGCCATAGGTAGCCTGTCCAAGCTTGTTCACCTGGATTTGAGCAACAATTCTTTCGAGGGCAACATACCGTCGGAGCTCGGAAAACTTCCAGACCTTCGATATTTCAGCCTGTTAAATAACAATCTCAATGGTACAATCCCTTATCAAGTAAGCACTCTTCAAAAGTTGTGGTACTTAGACCTCGGCTGGAACAAGTTGGACTCACCTGACTGGTCCAAATTCTCAGCCATGCCATTGTTAAGATACCTCAGTCTAGCAAACAATTCACTTCATTTGGGGTTTCCAGGTTTCATACCAGATTGTCGGAATTTGACTTTCCTCGACTTGTCGGTGAACAATCTGACAGGGCCAATACCGGAGCCAGTTTTCACCAAATTGGGTCAGCTTCAGTACCTCAATCTCTCAAATAACTTGTTCCAGGGACCACTGTCACCAAACATTTCCAAGCTTTCCAAGCTCATAAACCTCCATCTAGCAACCAATAAGTTAAATTGTTCAGTCCCTGAGAGTATAGGGTTCCTTTCTGATCTTGAAACCTTGGAAATGTTTGAAAATTCATTTGAGGGAAAGATTCCATCTTCTTTAGGCCAACTCAAAAAGCTCAAGATACTCGATCTTCATGCCAATGGCTTAAATTCCACAATTCCTTTTGAGCTTGGTTCTTGCTCTAATCTCACTTTTCTGGCCTTGGCCGAGAATCGACTTACCGGGGAACTACCATTGTCATTGTCCAATCTCACCAAAATATCAGAGTTGGGGCTGTCTGATAATTCCCTTTCAGGTGAGATTCTGCCATCTCTTATCTCTAACTGGACCAACTTGTTCTCTTTACAGCTCCAATCCAACTCTTTCACTGGAAAGATTCCTCCAGAAATTGGCTTATTGACAAAGCTCAAACTCCTCTTTTTGTATAACAACAAACTATCCGGACCGATTCCGTTCGAGATAGGCAGCTTGAAGAATCTCATATATTTAATCTTTGCAGTAAACAAGCTTTCAGGTCCGATTCCTCCAACAATATGGGGTCTGAAAAACCTGCAGGTCTTACATCTGTATGAAAATTATCTCGAAGGCACAATTCCAGAAGAGATTGGTAACTTGACATCGATCTCCTCTTTAGACTTTGCCTTGAACCGATTGTATGGTGAGTTGCCGGAGACCATTTCTTGGCTCACTAATTTGCAAGGCTTTTCATTGCTTAACAATAATTTCTCGGGTAGAATTCCTCGGGATTTTGGGAGATACATTCCTAAGTTGGCTTATGTCAAATTTTCCAATAACAGCTTCTCTGGGGAATTGCCTCCTGAATTGTGCAGTGGCTTTGCTCTTTTGGAATTTACTGTTAATGGCAACAACCTCTCGGGGTTATTGCCAGCTTGCTTGAGAAACTGCAGTGGATTAGTCAGAGTTCGTCTTGATGGGAACCGATTTACCGGTAACATTACAAATGCATTTGGAGTTCATCCAAACCTTGATTATATTGACTTTAGTGACAATCAATTCATTGGTGAAATCTCTCCTGAGTGGGGAGAATGCAAAATCCTTACCAATCTACAGATGGAACAGAATCGAATCTCGGGTGAAATACCAGCAGAGCTCGGAAAGTTGACACAGCTGCAGGTGCTAAACTTGGGCTCAAACAAGTTGACTGGGACCATTCCTACTGAGCTTGGAAATCTGAAAATGTTGTTTAACCTTAATTTGAGCCAGAATCATCTGTCGGGATCGATACCTCGAAACATCGGTAGTCTAACAGAGCTTCAATATTTAGATTTGTCCGAAAACAGCTTGACCGGAACAACACCAGAAGAGCTTGGGAATTGCAATAAGTTACTGAGCTTGAATTTGAACCACAACAATTTATCTGGTGACATTCCAGGTGAGTTAGGGAGCTTGGTTGTTCTTCAGTATTCATTAGGTCTCAGCAGCAATTCATTTTCAGGGAAAATCCCTCCAGAGTTGGGGGGACTTATTTCACTGGAGAATCTTAATCTTTCACATAACAATCTCTCTGGTGAAATCCCAACAACGTTGCTCCAAATGATCAGTCTTGGTTCGTTTGATTTCTCCTACAATGAGCTGACGGGCTCTATTCCGAATGCCGGTCCATTCCAGAATGCTTCCCAGGATGCCTTCATTGGAAACCCGGGAATGTGTGGAAACATCAAAGGATTTCCTCCTTGCAATTCAGTTTCAACTAGAAAAAACTCGAGAAAGCGTACCTTGAAGGTTCTCGGCATAGTTCTTCCTGTCTTTGGCATATTATCAATTTTGGCTGCAATATCCGCATGTCATCACCGAAGAAATCGACCAGATGAGGAAGCAGAAGGTAGAAGGTTCAAGCATTCTGACTCGATATGGATAAAAAAAGAGAGTTTGTTTAGATTTGGGGACCTTGTAAAAGCAACAGAGGATTTCAATGAAAAGTACTGCATTGGGAAAGGAGGATCAGGTAGTGTTTACACAGCATTATTGTCTACGGGTCAAGTAGTTGCAGTTAAAAGACTTCACATATCGGACTCCGCAGAAGTTCAAGTCATCAATCACCAAAGGTTTGTGAATGAAATCCTTATGCTAACAGAAGTTAGGCATCGAAACATCATCAAGCTACACGGATTTTGTTCTCATAGGGGACTTGTGTACTTGGCTTATGAGTACATAGAAAAAGGAAGTTTGAAAAGCGTGTTGTATGGAGAAGAAGGGGAAGTTGAGCTTGACTGGGGTAAAAGGGTGAAGATTGTGCAAGGATTGGCTCATGCGATTGCTTACTTGCATCATGACTGTTCTCCGCCAATCATACACCGAGACATATCTTTGAGTAATGTTTTGTTAGAAGCTGGATTTGAGCCAAAGCTTTCAGATTTCGGGACTGCAAGATTGTTGGATCCAAATTCATCCAATTGGACCACTGTTGTGGGATCCCATGGCTACATGGCACCAGGTTAGCAATACAATTTCTGCATTCTTATTTCACTTTACTGATTGAATCACACAACAAGAAGGCTTAAAGTTTTTTTCTTCTTTTGGTTACCTGGAATGTTTAGAGTTGGCACTCACCATGCGGCTAACAGATAAATGCGATGTTTATAGCTTTGGAGTGGTGGCATTAGAGGTTATGATGGGAAGGCATCCATGGGAACTCTTGAATCCCTTCTCATCATCTTCATCAACATTGTCGTCTGAAAATAGAGAAACGTTTTTGAAGGATGTGCTCGACCAAAGGCTACCATCTCCCACGGGCAGAATAGCAGAGGAAGTTGTATTTGTTGTCAGAATGAGCTTGGCATGCACAAATATCAAGGCCGAGTCAAGACCCACCATGAGATTTGTGGCACAAGAACTTTCAGCAACAATACAGGCTTGCCTGAGTGAACCATTAGGAAATATATCATGAAAGACATTTGAAAATATGGTTTGATTAAAACCTCTCAATACATGTTAAAAGGGAAATAAGTTGAAAGATAATATCAAAATTACAATGGAAAATGAAACCATGAAAATGTTTCATAGTTCAGACAATAGCGTTGGCAGCACTTGCAATTCTAGGCCACAGTTTCAATAAATTAAAGAACATATCACTTTCTACCAGAAAACTGCAAACCAATAATAAATGCATTGGTAAAACCAGCCTAACAAAATCCATTACATCTATGGCCGCCACAAATGCAGATAACAACATCATCTTTTCAAGTTATGTGGGGAAACCATCTAGAATCAGTAACCGGCTTTTCTCAGGTTCTACTCAACTTAAGAAGCAGAAATTGGATTCCTTATAGTGAATGATCACAGTCACACATGTTAACTTGATTTCACGTTTGATACTGTAAGAGCAAGTGAACCAGAGATAATTTCAACATAGCTCAAAGCAATATGAACAGCTATACTTCAGCATTTAACCCCGCAATTCAACAGGCGTGGTTATTCTATTTGGATAATCCGAAATAGAATGAAGAAGATGAGTGAGATAGTTAACCTTTCATTTCTCCCTTGGGATTGACAATGACACCAGCATTATCTGCAAACAGATGAATAAACCCAGATTAAGTTTTGAAAAACTTGGCAACTGAATCAAATATACCAGGAGACAGGTAAAACAATGCATAGACAAACAATTGGATCATGCTGTTTAAAACTAGCAAACTGTCATCATTTTATGCTTCCCATTGAGAGTTACCAACAATGAAATCAACGACAAAGACAAATAAAAGATATAAACTTTAAATAAAAAGCAACTGTGTTGACCTTCGAAGTACATGTACACGCCGTCCTTTCTACGCCAAGGATTGCGCTGTCGGACAATGACAGATGGCAACACCTTCTTCCTTAAATCAGGCTTCCCTTTCTTGACGGTGGCCATGACCATGTCGCCGACGCAAGCCGATGGAAGCCTTTTGAGACGCCCTTTGATTCCTTTCACCGAAATAATGTAGAGGTTCTTGGCTCCAGTGTTGTCGGAGCAGTTTACTGTGGCGGCCACCGGTAAACCCAGCGACATCTTGAACTTATTCCCCGCACTACCTCCCCTTCCTATTGCAAATTACAAAAAGGAAGAAAATGGTGAAAATTGTGGGTTCTGTTTGGCGAGCATGAAAATGGATTGGAAAATGAAGGAGAATACGTTACCTCGCTTCGACATTTTGGATCGGCTCTGTTCTGCTTTGCTCTTCCGTTTACCTACGACGGTTTTCTCTATCACTATGTATCTGCAAGCCTAGGGTTTTGACTCCCCAGTTGTCACCTCCGGTAGCACACTCCACCCAAAACTTGCTTCAGATCGGCATGCCACGTCAGCCCTAGGATGTCCCTTAACGACAACAGTAAAACCACCACCACCACCACCAGCAACAACAATGGTCTCAATCTAATCAACAACATTTCCAAGCTCCTCTGGGCCCTGGGGTCCCTCCCTCCCTCCCGGGCTCCTAATCTCCACCGTCCGTACAGCGTGGACATCCACGTGGCAGCTCGTGATGTCTCAATTGGCTCCCTCCGATCCCTCCGGCGGCTACACCAGGCCTCCCTCGAAGTTCCGCCTCTCCCGCCAAATTCCCAACAGACACCAAACTCCATCTCTACGTGGGCCTACCATGCCCGTGGGCCCACCGGACCCTAATCGTCCAATCCCTCAAAGGCCCCGAAGAAGCCATCCCCGTCTCCATCGCAGGCCCCGGCCTCGACGGCTCTTGGGAATTCGGAGATTTCCCCTACCAAGACAAAAGTAGAGACGAGGATACCCTTGTTCCAACCAGGGATAAGATTAACGGATGCCGGAATTTGAAGGAGGTTTATGGGCTGAGAAAAGGCGGCTACAACGGGCGGGCCACGGTGCCAATGCTATGGGACGTGGATCAAAAAGAGGTAATCTGCAATGAGAGTTACGATATCATCGAGTTCTTCAATTCGGGTCTAAGAGGGTTGGCTCAGAACCCGGGTTTGGATCTCTCGCCTGTAGAGCTGAAAGGGGAGATCGAAGAGTGGAATCGAGTAATTTACCCCAATGTTAACAATGGGGTTTACAGGTAAAAACTAACTTGAAACCAGAGCCTTGAATGTTTATAAATTGAGATGATGTGTTGTAGATGTGGGTTTGCTCAAAGTCAATAGGCATCTGATGTTGCAGTGAATGGATTGTTTACATTGGATAAGTTGGATGATCATTTGGGTGGTTCAAGGTACCTATGTGGAGACAGGTTGACTCTTGCGGATATTTGTTTGTTTACGACATTGATTAGGTTTGATGTTGTGTACAATGTTCTGTTCAAAAGCACCAAGAAGAAGCTGCTCGAGTTTCCAAATCTTCATGGTTACATGCGCGACATTTATCAGGTACCAATTCTGATCTCAACCTTAAGACTTGACTAGACTAATTTGAGCCCATATTTGAAGCCCAAATTATATGAATAAATAACTCGATATGACATGAATTTGAAGAAATCATAAACCTAAAATGATCTTAAAATGTGCTGTGTAAAATTATATTTTTTTTTCTTGTTTCATCAGACTCCAAAGGTTGCTGCTACTTGCAATTTTCCGGCAATTATGGACGGTTATTACCAGATACTTTTTCCATTGAACCCTGGCAGCATTCGACCTGTTCTGCCCTCTGGCTGCGACCATGAATTCCTCTCCAGATCTCACAACAGGGAGTCGATGTCACCGGAGGATAAAAGGGTGCAGTGTGTTGCCTAAATAGAGTCCTAGGACATGTATAGTTGTATAATTTGTACTTTTAACCTTAAATATATATTCATCCAAGGAGAAATCATCTGAAATCTTCTACCACTATTTATTTGCTTCTCTTCTTTTGGGGTTCAACCAGCCAATTAATCAACTAATCCAAATTGGATATTATAGTGTTATTCAAATCAAATCAGAACCGATTGGATCGTGAACTAATGACCTTAATCAGTCTATTCAAAACAAGCCCATTAACTTAAATAAAACTCGGTTTTATATATATTTCCCAAAGTAGATCAGAGAAGGGGGGAAATATTGTTAATCAAAAACGGCAAAACGTTTCCATGACCAAAAATCAGCTCATCTCGTTGCAAATTTAGACCCTGCACCAGAGAAAGAAGATACTCAGTACGGATATCTTGAAAGTGTCCGCATGCACATTGCTGCCTATTTCTTAGCTAGTTAATATATCATTATGAAAGTTCCAGTTCCAGTAACATCCTCTTGCATAGACAATAATAATGACCTCTACAAAAGCTTTCATTGAATTCAATTCCAGGAGGAGAGTTAAGCGCATGAAAGTTTTTTTTTCCTTCAAAAATCTGTGTATGGATGGATATTGTTGTTGTAGATTCAAGTTCACAGGGTTAACATATTTCAATCAACTACAGATTCTACCAAAGTACTTACTAGTTGAGCGTTTCATGTTCCTGCAAAACTTACTGCCACATCTGCACTGGAACGTCTTGACAGGATGATCGAGGTCATCAAAGTCGATGCCATAATCCTGCATCACAAAATGCGTAACATTTTAACAGGACAAGCATTAATATACGATAATACATGAATAGCAATACCCAGCTTTGCTTCTCAAACCACCTGAAACATATCTTTTCTCGGGCAAAATAAACAATCTGATCAGCGCTTCCATTTTTTCTTTTTAATATTATAAAATGCAACAAATATCAACTACAAGTTTCAGAATAATTCAACTTATAACTAATCACTCACCCAAGTCAGCTCTTCAAGCGGATTAACATCTCTCGTTGTGAAGAAGGCGAACTGCATGCAAAAAATGCTCTATTAGAATTGCTATTTTAAGAACTTAAGCCGGTAAAACAAATAGGAAAATGAGGTTGAAAGAAATTAGTAGTTCCTACGTGATAGTAATGAAGATCTGGAGTCTCCACTTCAACAGGAATCTCAATTAAGTTTGCATCTAAGCACCTAGAAACATAAACAAAAGAGAGAATCAGATATCTTTAATCTCAGCTTATTTAAGTTGATCTGATATTCCTATACATTTGTCATCATGTACCTTAACTGTAATTAAAATAAAACCTCAATCATGGAAATCAAGTTAATGTTGCAGGTGACCTCTTCACATATCAAATCTAATATCTCAACTAATGTTTGTACCCAAAGAAAATTCAACTAATCAACTTGCTTAAACCATCTATGGAAATTGCTTGATGTCATCAAGGTCTATTACTAATGTCACAAAAAGACACATCACAGAAACAGATGCACAAGCAAATAAGCAACTGAAATTTTTTTAACACATAAGAAATAGGGTCACAAAATCTAATATGCAATACACATGCATATATACAATTACCTATGATTGATAAACCTAGCAACATTTCCATAACATGTGGCATCCAAACAGAGGGCTTCTTCATCCTTAGGAACTCCCTTCAACCCCCAATAAGCATCCAGTAGAACTGGAGATGTATGTTTCTCTCTATTCCTTGCATACAACTCAGAGATGGTGAGTATTTCTCCAACAAACTCACAAACAAAAGATCCTTTGGGAAGCTTCTCTAGAGTTCTTAGGCCCCAACCCCTTCCATCAGGTGTCAAAAACACCTAACGTTCAGAGAAAACTAGCCACATAAGACATGGGTTTACAAAAGCAAATTCAAAGGTTGATGCCTTATGGAAAAGACAGAAAAATTACAAGGACCAGAATTTGTACAAGACTAGGATGAACCAAACCTGTAATTTGCATTTTACACCTCTCTGCACCACCCGATTGCCGCACTGCTTATTGCACCCACATTTGCTCCAACACTCTTTTAAGACTTTTCTCTTCAAGTGACCTTTACAAGGCTCTGGAAAGTCATCCATTTTTGATCTCTCGAGGGGGCATTTCGTACAAGTGAGAAGACATTGTTTTTTGGGATCAAGAGTCATAGAGATGCACTCTTCCAAGAAGTTTTCCTTGATAACACCTGCCGGGGTATAAGCAAAATTTCCCCCAGCTTGACAAGCACACGCACAAGGCTTCTGGGACAAGAGACAATCTCCGAGACATGTAGGACAACATCTTTCATCTCCAATCCGAAAAAGAGAAAAGCTAACACAGGCATTTTGAAATACCAAGTTTTCTGAAATATATTGAAACGGTGGAGGAGTCTCTTTATTAATTTCATTTACCCATGAAATTTCAACATTTTCTTCTCCCTTGGTTATGTCACTTGCATCATGAAGACACCTTAGTTCTTTAGGTGTAAGATGACGCTGTGGAGAAACCACTAATTCCTCCCCCTCAGCATTGCCCACAAATCCATTTGCAGAGCAGTGATTATTGAAAGATCCATTTAAAAGCCTAGCTACGACACAACCATTCCCCTCAACGTTCTCAACATCACAAGCATCCCTTGCAGGAGATTTCTTCAATGCATCAAGAGCAAGCATCTCGTTACCTTCCTGCTATTGATAATAACAATTAGTTGCCAATTCAAGAAGCATTCCCATGTGTCAGTCAGAATTTTGATAACACCAAAATTTGGGTCAATGAGTTCATAAGATTGGAGGCATCTCTGCTCCATCAGTTCTTAGTTCATCTACACTAGGCAACTGGAAATTTTCCTTCCAAAAGCAGAATTGTAACTTACAGAAATCTGCATCTCTCCCAGTGGTGATGAGGCAATCTCTAGTTCAGACGGAATTTCATCAGGATCAGTAGCTAGCTCACAACTGGTATGCCTTTCACTCACAGAAGCTGAAGCTGAAGCACCAGCAATTTCAACTGCATGCAAGAACTCTGGAGGTTCCTGCCAATTTGATTCTTGAGTTGAAAAATCCCCAACTGGCAAATCACTTCCAATCAATGCATCTACAAAAAAAAAAAGTGTTGCAGTTAAATAAATAAAAGATTAAAAATGTTAGAAAAAAGAAAGAAAAAAACAACTCAAGAAAAGCATTAATTACAACTTTAATATTCAACAAAGTTAAAAATGCTGATTAGCACATTCTGTGTCACAAAATGGATTCATATTAGGATCATCAGATATGTTAAATTATTATGAGCAGAAATCAGCTGAAAGCATGAGTGTAATAATCATAAATAATGCTTGGCAAAGTTAACAGGTTGACAACTATACAGAATAAATCTTATAAAAAAAAACTATACAGAATAAAGACTATACCCAAAATTTACGAGACATATAGCAACATGGCAAACTCCAGTTTCCGTGCAATTTTATAATAAAATGGAAAAGCCTGATAGGTAAAAAACCATGAATATTCCCCAACATAAATACATAGACAGATAGATATATTTCTACACCAAGACCCACTAAAAACTGCACATAGATAGAACTAAATGTTGTAAGCATGACAATCTAAAGAGGCATTTCTACTATTCTTAAACAATGGTTCTTGACTGCCCTATGAATTAACTCGAGAAACATATAAGCAGTCGACTAATTGGTCTGTATTTTTTATGGTGTTTAGTCAGTCTGTGGGGTGTTTCTTATGTACTATGTTCTCTTCAGAAATAAAATCCTAAGGCACTCTTTTACTCCCTTCACTGATTAAGGAACTTTCTCAAAAGTTCCTTTAGTCAAGAAGGGGGATTTAAATGAGGCCTGTAATTCTTATCAAAAAAAAAAAGCCCATCCATTTTACTGTACAGATTACAAAAACTTTACAACATGTAAATGGACTTAGTGAATTAGATGCTAGAAAATTGCCACAGAGCTAATCAAATATTGATTTGAAATGAAAAGTGAATTGGGGGGGGGGGAAGAGAGCAAATGGCATTCATCTGGGAATTCCAATAAGTTACCCGGTTGAATAACTGCAATAGGAAGCTCATCCTGTGGTATGCCATCAGTAAATGATTCTTTCCTGGGTATAATCAGGGCATGATTAGCAGTGACACTTTTGTTAGGAATAATACTAGGCTCTGGTGCTGGATCTTTAATGCGCAAGGCTACAGATACGTTCTCAGGGCCTGTCCCCTTTGAAGCCACATGAGGTGACATGGGTTCCTTTCCTTTATAGTTAGGCCTAGTTTGTACTTTCTGCTTCCCTTTATCCCTACCACTATGATCAGAAAGAACAGGAACAGGAGATGGAGGCTGAAGCTGAGGTGAAGCAGGCTGGATTTCTGTCCTCATATTTACAACATTGGACTCAAGTGACTTTTGTTGCAAAGAACGAGGAATTAGTTCATCCTCAACTTTAAGCTCTTTTAAAATGGTTTCAGCAACATTGGAGCTGTCAATTGGATGAGAAGAAGAGGCCAGCCCTTCTTGGGTTTTCAAACGTGTTCTTTTTAAGGGGCGTAAAAGCTCATCAGTCATTGAACCTTCTTCGTCAAAACTCTCCTCCTGCTATGTAAGACAATCAAAAGAAATCAGTTTATACAGATGGATGATGAGAAGAAGGAAAAGAAATTATGCAGCACCAACATAAGTTAGAGGATTGAATCACGTACGTCACATGTCCTGCCCTTTTTAGGATCTGACACCTGAAAAGCAAGAGAGATGCGACTTGAAACTGAACTAAAATAGATTATAAAGGAAAATATACCTTGCTATCCTCCTCCTCAAAGATAGCATCAGCAAGAATTCTATAATTCTCCGATTCAATTAGCTCCCAATTTCTGTCATACAGCTTTAGAAGCTTCTTCAAAACTGGTTTCACTTTTTCATCACTAATTCCTATTTCCTTCATTGAGCGGAAGGCTTGCACAACTCTGGGGTTTGGTGTCATGATGCTTTATCAGCTCTCCCTTTTGGCAGGCTTGCAAGCACTACTATTATACCTACATTTCTCCATTTCAGTGAGAGAAAGCAGGCTACAACAGTAAGTCTAGGAAAAAAAGAAGCAATGTCGCAGCAGGAAATTGAAAATGCTGCATTCTTTAAGTGTTAAATGCAAAACAAACAAACAAACGTAAAAGATTGGAATTACATAAACTAACTAAACCAACAATTAACTTACCTTAATCAAAGTGGCAAAGAAACACACATTTTAACTTCTAACGCCTACAACTACAACTACATTAAGAGAATTAACCAAAGATGATCAGTATACATCTTTAATCATACACTACTCAAGAACATCCAAGTTCAAGTAAGAAGCATAAAAGCTAAAGCCTTCATGATTACTTGCAAAAAGGAGATATCAGTTAATACTTCTACAACACCAAGTTAAACCGATGAAGATTTTTGAATACCCAAGACAGAAAACACGGGAAGAATTAGTTTAAAAAAGAAAAAGAAAGAATATTTCACGACCTTGGGAAATATAACCACATGAAGCCTAGTACATCCGTATGAATCTGCTTCTCTGGAAAGTAAAAGCATCTTTAAACATTTGTAGAAAAGCTCAGAATCTTAACTTTCTAATTTCTTTCTTCTTAACAATGCAGAGCCATTTCAGAGACTAAACAACTTCATCTCAGTATCTCACCGGCGCACTGCATTACCGAATTCCGTACAGTTCGATTCGTTTCTTATGAGGAAACGTTTTTCGACTCGACTCGACATTTTCTCAGCAGACAAACGAAACATAAGCCGATAAATTATCAAAACCAATGCACTAAGTCAAGAGAAAAAATTAAAGCGTCGCGTTAAAATGTATAAAAAAACGTTTCATACAGAAAACGAAGATCGTTTAAAAAGACTTCGGGAAAAAAAAAACAGAAAGGAAATGAAAGAATCGGAGAACAGAAACTCTTACCAGAAATTTCAGGGAACGAGTGACCTTAGCATTAGAAAGGTAAAAAAATCGAAAAACATAGGGCAAATTTGGGGTTTTTCCTAAATTTTTTCCTTTAAAAAATACGCGAAAAGAGAGAGAATCTTTTCGCCTTAAAGGACAGAAAACTTGACACCTTGGCTATATAACGGAAGCGCGTGGAGAACACGGTTTACGCTAACGTGGCAACAAACAGTCAATTTTTCACCGTTAAACTCCGTCTTCAAAACCCTTCACTAAAAACCCTATACCATTTCGTAATAAACCAATGGCGGCACAACCCAAACGAGGCGGAGTTTCCCTACCCGAGAGGCGATCCGCCTCCAAGCCCGAGTCCAGCATCCTCGCCCGTATCACTTCCTCCCCCATCTTTTCTCGTGGTAAGCAAGCCGCATGCGACGCCGCTTTTGCCTCCAAGAAGCTTATCCGTAGCACCGGCAAAGCCGCCTGGATTGCCGGAACAACCTTCTTGATCTTAGCTGTCCCTTTGATCATCGAGATGGACCGTGAGCAGCAGTTCGGTGAGCTTGAGCTGCAGCAAGCTAGTCTCCTCGGTGCCCCGTCTACTGCATCCGCCAATAAGTAATCAGGTCGGATTAGGTCATATCATTTCAGAGCTTGTCGGCTTTATCAATTTTTGGCCCTGTTTCGGGCCATTCCCATCGAAAACATTTTAGATGTTGGTTAGTACTTAGTACTTTAAATTTTTCCTCTTTTTGGTGTTTTAAATTTGAATTTCCTGTGGAATGTTGTTCTTGGATTTGGTTTTATCAAGTTTATGCTTGTGAGTTTCATATTACATAAACGTTTGAATGAAAACCAACTGGTTTTGGAATTTAATATATATATATATATATATATTTAAAGTCATTGGGATAGTGATGATGAATGGCTTTAACTTGTATGTTGCATGAAAACTACCCTTATACATCATCAGTTCAGTAATATATGGAGTGAATTAATCATAGTTCAAAGGAAAATCTTTTCATGGTTGCATTTTGGTTACATTGCAGCAGTTGAGTGAGCATGGTATGCTTAGATATTTTAATTTAAGAGTCCTTGCTTCTACCTGGGAATTCTAATGTTTCAGTATTAATCCTTACGAACTTCATTCTGGTGTTGATTAGTGCCATTGGTGATAAATAGTTGGTAATTGAGAGGTGTGTGGTTAAAAATTATTGTAATAATTTCCTCAATTCGGTAGTTCTCCTGGTTCTGATTTGCTTCAACTAGATCTAAAATTGTGATAACTATAAACCTCTGGGATATGGGAGTTGGGTGCACAAAGGTAGTTATGATTTTCGCTTTGTCATGACTATTTGTGATAACAAGAAAAATACAATACTTCAGTTCTTTTTACTAGCCATTTGAAGTTGCAGCTTCATGATATATCTTAAAGAAAACTGCAAGATATTGAGTTCTTGAGGGATTTTAGTTGTTAGATTCATGGTCAAACTAACTATCTCGGGAGGCTTGGAGGCTGTTTGTTTTCCAGTTGCATTGGTGATTGAATCTATTAGATCGGAAAGCTAGATGTCTTTTAAGAATGTGCGAATAGGATCAAGTCATCGGACGATTGACAGAAAAGTTAAATGCAGTTGCCTTGCCCTCATCGCGATTCTTAGGTGATTGATTGTTAAGCTTTTCGAAGGGAGGCGGAAACCTTTAGGACTTGTTTAGAGACTTGGATCTCTTGAAAAATACATAAAGGTTCTGCTTGTCTTTTTATTCTTCAATATTGTCTCTTGAAAAAATATTGTAAGAACTTCCTCAATTTGGTAGTTCTCCTTGTTCTGGTTTGCTTCAAGTAGTTCTAAAATTTGGATAATTATGAACCCCTGGGATAAGGGAATTAGGTGCACCAAGGTAGTTGTGCTTTTAGCTTTGGTGATAACAAGAAAACTAAAATACTTCAGTTCTTTTTACTAGCCATTTGAAGTTGCAGCTTCATGATATATCATAAAGCAAATTGCGAGATATTGAATTCTTGAGGAATTTTAGCTGTTAGATTCTTGGTTGGATTAATCATCCCGTGAGGCTTTCGACGTTGTTTGTTTTCCAGTTGCATTGATGGTTGAATATATTAGATTGGAAAGCTAGATGTCTGTTAAGAATGTTCAAATAGGATCGAGTCACCATAGGCAATGAACAGTTGAACACACTAGCATTAGATAGAGGTGTTACCCGAAACGCAAGGCGCCAAGCAGCTGTGGCAGTGGCACTAATGAAGTTATGACTTTCTGAATCTATCAGACTCGATAAGGGTTGTCCATTCATTACTGATTGCAGCTGCATAGTCTTAGCATGTAAGGAGTTTCAGGTTCCACTTTCTGTACTTCGATATTCTCCTCTAATGTATCTACCGGTTCTATAGCCAAAACAGCTTCTTACATTAATGAGTGTCCGAATAAGGTTCATCGCAACTACAGCACAGCTCTTTTTATCTACGTTCTGCCATCTCTGCTCTATTTAAGCGCCTTATGAATGAAGTTGGGGTTGTATATGTTGAAGAAGCCGCAGCTATAGTTCTTGCAGTACCCTTCTGAACTGATGCTTATTGTGAAATCAGTGACCCAGAACTTATCCAAGCATTCGGCCATGCCCCTTGTCGGTTATTTCCAACACGTAACAGTTGTTTCTATTCAAAAGCTAAAATATGGACCAGTTACAAGCAAATAAAAGATGCTTCTGAAAGGAAATAAATCAACTTAACCCTAAATCCATCTGCCAAAAGATGCTCCGGTATTGCACCGGCTGCTTCATGTCTTTATGTTTCCCATCTTTGGCATCTAGTCAATGGAGGGGAATGGTTGGTAACCACATATAGTTTTCGACATTCTTTTGGCGATTTCACTTATGGCCAATGTGGAAATGCCATCTGGGGGACCAAATGATCAAAGAGAGGAGAAATTTCAAAATGATCTAAAATACTTTGCTCTAGTTTAAAGCAATGTTATCTTTTAGCACATGCTAGTATTTGTTCATATCCCAATCTCACAATGACTTTTTTAAGTACAGATCTTACACTTACCTCCTAGTTGCAGCTCATATTCTAAAAGGAGCATAAGAATATAAAATGGTTTGGGAAAGAATCTGCTACTTGGTTAGCTTGCTTTTTAACTCTAGTTATAAGATGCAGGTGTTGTTGAAATTAGGCAACATGCAGCAATAAAAAGTAACTGATGAATTAGTATATGCAGATAAGGATGGACTGTCCAATTCTTGACAAGTTTAAGAAAACAAGTAAAGGAGTAGTTTGACATGGATTGTAGGAAGTATTTTCTTTGTATATGTGGCCTTGGAGGTAATCTGACGTCATAGCTTATTCTGATTGGTGGAGAATTAAAGAGTTTGGGTCCTAAAGAAGATTTAGTGAAGATGATTCCCTTACTAGAACCATATTAAGGACAACCACTTCCACCCTGCTTCACTTGGGGTGACCCTTTGAGACCAGAAAAGCACTGTTTACCTTTTTTTTGTGGCCCTGGTTTACACAGCAGTTTTGCTGTGTGAGTTTCAGGTTTGGTTTGATCTATAGTGTCATGCCCCTCTTTATAAGAAATATACGGAGTATAGTATACAGTACATAAACATAATTAGAAGGCATAATGATAAAATTAGTCTCCTAATGTTTGTACAAATGATCATTTTGGTATTTTTTTTTAATATTTTAACTCTAATATTTAATTTTTTTGTTGAAATAGTCTTTGTTAGGTGAAAATCGTTAGTTAATTTTTATTTTTACATATGTTTAATTATTGATATGATATATGTCACGTCACCAAAATAATGATGTGATTAGGGACGGACGCAATATTTAATGTTAAGATGATGAACTTATAAAATTTTAAAGGAAAATAAAATTATAAAATTTTAGGGGGCGAGAAACATATTTTTAAAAAAAATATAAAGAAAATATCTAAAAAATATAAAATTTAAAATTTTAAGTGAGGCGACCTCTCGTCCCTAAATGTAATATATATCATGTCATAAAAGTGACGGTGTGACATAAATCATATCACATGAAGTGGTAATGTATGTTTTATGTCACCAATTAAATATAAAGTCAACAAACGAACGGTTTTCATCCAAGTTCTAATACAAATGTATGTCAGCACGAATAAGGTCTAATACAAATCGATTCGATTTCAATTACAATTAGATAGGAATCTAATATTCTTATTAATGTTAATTTATAATATAGTTTTTATATTTTATTACTAATAAACAATGAAACCGGCCACGGGATTTAAACAAGTTCAGGGAACGGCAATGGACTCCCCCAATTTCAAACACATATCCAAAACAAATTAAAGGTAATGATTGGATTTAAATTTAATTATATAAGAGACATGTAGTTAACGATTGATTATACTTCCTTTATATTAAACCGAAATCATATTAAATTATTTGAATCAGAGTTGAACGGCTAAATTAAACATTAAGAAATTCTAATCTTACACTTCCGCATGTACTTGTGGGATTTGATTTGATTGTTAAATTTTTTCCCAACCATAAAAAAAAATTAATATTTCCATTAAAAAAACGTATAACAAAACAAAATGGTTATCATTTTCAAAATTTTAATAGTTTTTATTCCTATTAATTTCCAAAATTACAGGTGTCACATTTAGAGGACTAAAGCTGTCACGTCAGCTAACCCAACAGCATAGGCGTGGAAAGATATAATGATTCAGCCGTATCTAATCTTATCAACTGGGTCCCCGGTGATTGCATATATTAAAGGGGGAGAAAAAACATAGGGAACCGTGGACTGTGTTTTGTCTCCTGCCGTCAACATCAGACAAAAACGACGACGCAGTCCCAGCAATCAAAACAACAATAACCAAGAACATGTTCGTCTTCGGACCTGAAAACATTATATTAATCGGAACTGAAATATCGTTTATAAAAATTGGGGGATTGTTGTTGGGGTTGTGGGTCTAATGTTAACGATATGTTGAGATGTCACTTCCCCTGGTTTTTATCATTTCTTTAAAAATCCGTGTGGTTTACTCTGATTCGTTTGCTTTGGTACAATAATCTTTTTAATCCTCCAATTTTATTGATGTAATTCTTTTAACCCCCTACATTTTTATTACATCTCTTTTGATTTCAAACTTTTTATTTTTGTAAAATTAACTTAAATATGATGAATCAATAGTGAATCATTAAACTGGCATCAAATGTTTTACTTTTATTAAAATATTAGTTTCAAATATATTCTTATATTTTATGAAATAAAATAATAATGATGTCATTATTGTTGTGTTGTATATGAGCTAATTTGATAAAATAAAACTTTGAGGGTTAAAATGTATGTAATATAAGTTTAATAGATAATATGATTAGACTGATAAAGTTGGGGTCAAAATTTAATTATACCACTTGCATTTGAGACTTGGGGTTTTGTAGGGTGATTGAAAAAAGGCGATGGGTCCCAGACTCGACGTGTCGATCCTCGTGATTTTGGCCCCACTGTTGTCGGATTGTCACATCATTATATTAATATTTTATAGCACTTGAATAAATATAATAAATTGTAAAAGTTTAATGAATTTAATGTACTTATCCAGATAAAAAATAATGGTTCAGACAGACAAGGTGGGGGACACAATTCAAACAGCAGAAGCAGCACAGCAGCATGATAACCCAACCCAACCTGCCCTTTTCTTTTTTATTCTCTGTAGTTTTAATTAGAGTTAATTATATGTTTAGTATTTTAATTATTATTCTTATTATATTTTGATCATTTTATTATTTTTATTTTAAAATTATATTTAACATTATATTTTGATTTTATGTTAGTCACTCACCGTTAAAAAACTAACAGTATCTTAATATATAATCATAAAATAATATCATACTATTATTATTTTTTTAAATACTACATCAATATTTCTATTAATTTTTAACGATAAATTATCAAAGTTAAAATTAAAATGTATAATTAGATATAAATTTAAAATATAAAATAATAAAATAATCAAAACAGAATAAAAATTATAATTGGAATATTAAACTTGTAGTTTAATTTTTTTAATTATTTCATTCCTCCAGACCCACCAAACAATTTAAAGCTAACTTTAGCCTTAACAGTTTGACACCACATTTCTCTCTGCCTGCAACACCCCCCCCCCCCCCAAATTCATCACTTTCCTTGCTTTCTACACTTTCAACTTTGAAACTTTGGTTGAACCCAGAACCAGGAGGCTTTAATTCTCAATGCAAGGAGACGCCGTTAATGGCGGTTCTGAAAGTGGGTCAATGTCAACTGTGTCAAGGGAGGATAACATGATGGTCTCCTCTGAAGATTCTTCGTGCCCCGATGAGTATGAATTGGAATTGGGTCTTGGCCTGAGCCTTGGTGGTGGTGGTTCTAAGCTGCACCAGGTTTCAAAGACTGGTCAATATGCCAGGATTTTGACTGCTCAAGATTTCCCCCCTTCATCTCCTTCCCCGTCATCGTCGTCTTCGTCTTCGTTTTCTTTAAGTAGAGCTAATGTCACGGCCGGAACAAAGAGGACTGCTGATCCTGTGGCTGCTGCTAATGGATCTAGGTATGCTTTAGTTTTAGCCTGATTTTATGATTCATGGTTCCATTATATATATATATATTATAGCTCTATTTAGTTGAGTGGATTGCTTTACAATGAATACAACAAGATCAGGGAAAAGTGAATTAGGCTAAGCATATTTCTTGTACGATTTATTCATGTAGGAAGGGGTTGCCAAGGGGAAACAACTTAAAAGAGTTAGATTATTTGATGATTAAGTGTGGATTTGGGATGCTTCCACTCTCGTTTAGATGGATCATGTTAGTTGCCAACAGACTGCTTTTAGCTTATATTGTTCCTAATGGTATCCGTGTTTGATTTTTCTTTCGGATACATTTTTGGACATGGTTTAAGATATGATCTTCTTAGAACCCCAAATACATGGGAAAAGTGTTATAATGTCGAAAATATTCGTTCCATACCTAAGTCTCAGCTAGCGATCTATGTCTGATAGATCTCAGTTGTCCTGATCTTCGATTCCAAATTTGGTATACGCTCTGCTTGTTGATCCAATAATCGGCTTAGATACATGGTTTAATCACTGAATGATTTTTACGATTGATAGGATGGTCTTACTCTTACATATAAGAATGATAATAGAGTTGATCCTAATTGTCTTTTAAACAACTTGGTAAGTTAGAAAATAGGTGATTGTTGGATTCCTGAGTTCTTGAACAAAATTGTAAGCCGAAAATCAAATTATATTGGAACCTATACGTGTGGTGCCATATTAAGTGGGCTCCATCCAAAATAAGCCAATATCCATGCCATCGAGTCAGTTTAATTTGTGCCATTTTTCTATGGTTTTGGTACCTCGTTAGTAGCTTATAGCTTATCTCTCTATTAACATGCTATTGAGTTCTGGTTTTTGAACTGTTGATTTTGTTTGAGTTCAAAACAGTCAAATCGCGGGGTGGCCTCCTATCAGAGCTTATAGAATGAATAGCATGGTTAACCAAGCAAAAGCATCAGTCACTGAAGGATTTAACTCGACAATGGAGAACCATAAAAAGGAGACCTCGATGGTTGAGAACAGCACCACTGGCTGCTACCATAATAGTGGTAATACTAAGCTCCGGAAATCTCTGTTTGTTAAGGCGAATATGGACGGAATTCCAATTGGAAGGAAGGTCGATCTGAATGCCCATGAATCATATGAAAAGTTAGCAAAAACGTTGGAAGAAATGTTCCTTGAAACCACCCCAAGTGTCAATTCAGCAGGTGAGCTTTACTAATTTATTTTGTTTTGAATTTAAGAAGACGAGTTAAGTGCTCATTTAGGTATTGACCATGCGGATGTCCGGATGAGTATGATTTTCAAGTATTGTGTCAAAATAGGAGATGCTAAACCAGGAACATTTTAAAGTTTAGAAATGTTAAACCTAGTGGAATTAGAGACGAGCTGAGATTGAAAAGGCTTTTGAATTCCACTTTAGAAGAATGTACTATGATTTTTCTATTAGATGATCTTCAAAGTATGTTTCTCTTACGAATGTTTGTCTTGCTTTTTGTGATAAGGATCAATAGCGCTGCAACGTGATATGACAAACAAAATGGCAAGACCTTCGAAACTGCTAAACGGATTTTCTGATTTTGTGCTTACTTATGAGGACAAGGAGGGTGACTGGATGCTTGTCGGAGATGTTCCTTGGGAGTAAGTATAATTTCAATTATGCATCTCACTTTACGTATTTGTTTCTATGGTCTCAATCAATGGTGTTAAAGTTCCGTTCTTATTGTATTTGTTTCTATGGTCTCAATCAATGGTGTTAAAGTTCCGTTCTTATTGCCTGGACTGAAAACCAGAACGTGGGATCCTCGTGACACCTATTTTATAGGCGTACGAGTTTCTTTAGAAAAGAAACAAAGAAAATTCAAAGTACGCATTTATAAGATACATGTTGCGATACTAATAAAGTTTTCAAACATAAATTGTCGATTAGTTCAGGCTTTAGGATAAAGCTGGGGAGGGTTATAGGAAAAGCTTAAAATCTTCATACATGTGCCTTTCCTCCAGTGCCCTTGAACTTGCTTTGAGAATAGAAAGAGAATTCCATCTCCCTAGCACTCATCGTTAATGTTCTCGGATTTGATTCAGGATGTTCCGTAGTTCGGTGAAGAGGCTTAGAATCATGAGGAAATCCGAGGCCACTGGATTAGGTACATATGCTTATTCATATTCATATTCTCTTCCGACCATGTTTCCGATGCCTTTCCCATTCAAATAACTAACTTTAATTCATAATTTACAGCTCCAAGATCACAAGAAAGAAACCAGAGGCAAAGAAGAAAGGCCATATAGAATGTGATTCTAACAAATCCCACCATGAAGATGAAAAGGGCATCCGTTGCAAAATACAAAGCAAAGCAAAAGAGAAGAAATACAGGAAAGTTAGAGCAGTGTGAAAATGCCTCTCCGTTTGTTTCCATCATTACATGTTTTTGTTTCAATCTCAATGATCGCCATAGATTTTTAGTTTTCAATGTAATGTTAATACAAAATAAAAAGGCTACAAAAACCCTCACCAACTCTTGAAATCAGTTTGGGTTCTTTTACCCAATCCCCATCTCATCAAAGATTAATTACCATAACGCCATTTAATACTGAAACAGTGGAGTCATGCAAAGAAATTGACAGACAAACGTAGGGCTACAAAACAAATGGGCATTTACAAGCAAAATTTGGGTGGTGGCAAAAACAGGAGAGCCACCAAATTGAAATCTTTATAAAAACACATCTACGATATACACAAAAACTTTAAGCAGTTTTCATTTTCCCCCGTTATTTTCAAGTGAAAGTCTCTGCTGATTGAATCTTCTTATTGCTTCGGCATGGTCCCCATATACGGATTGTATGATCATCACTGGCTGATGCCAACATCAAAGGCCTTTTAGGGTTCCAGCTGACACTGTTCACTGTCATCGAATGCCCCGATAATACCTCAACGGGTGTAGAACTTTGTCGATTCCAGATATATACCTGCCAATATTTACATAATGTAAAGATTTAATGCACTTCACTACAAGTGTATAAGCCGAGGTTCATGTGCATTTATGCACGAGATAGAAATAATAAAATGACACTTTTAGAGACCACCCCCCCAAAAAGAGGCCCTCAATAATCAGGAAAATCGGTATGTACACGAGGAGGATTCATTTTCTACCCTTGACCTCATCTACTGAAGAATGAGATTTGGAGTCTGGAGACCGGACACTGGACCAACTATGAACAGAAAGCTGGCTCGCTAAGTGCTAACTGGTGGTCGGTGCTACACATAGCATATCCCAATATTGGGATCTTAGTTAAGATGAAGTAGAGGGGAAATGCAATTGGACCTAACTGGTTACCATATGGCTGCCCGGAATGCCAAACATGACTAATAAATACAAGTGATTCGAGAAAAGGCACAACAAAAATAAGTTTACGACTAGCTAAACATGAACTACAATGTTAATGTAAAGCATATAAGCATACCTGTGTGTTCTCGCTACCACTGGCAATAAACATGCTATTGATCCCACCAAAGCAGGACCGTATGACATACTTGTTTTGCTTGTGTCCTGTGTACTTTAAAGGCTTTGCCCATTTTCCGGCAACATCCCGCAGATGTATCTCTTGGCTATTCAGGTTGACAATAAAGAACTTACTGTCCATGGAAACTGAAAGAGATGTGATTGAATGCTCCTCTAAGATAACTTGTTCAGCATTTGTCCTCAAATTTAATATCCGGATTTCTTTGTCTGAGAATATGCTGATAAGGTTTTCACCCTCTGATGTAACAGCAAGATCCAAAACCTTGGGCATGCGCATGCCCCTCCATGCTTTCATCTCAGTCCCATCACAGTCCCACATACAGATGCCTTTTTCAGGGTCAGAACTCCCACAGACAATTCGCTTTGAGTCGGGAAACCAAGCACATGAGCTGACCGTGAAGCCATGGTCCCCAAATGTATGCTTGCAAGTGCCTGTTTCTACATCCCAAAGCTTGAGAACTTCCAAGTTTCCACATGTGAGCAACTTTGTGTCATCTGGGCTCCAAGCCACAAAGGACACGGGGTTCTGATGGCTTCGGAGTGTGTGTTTCATTGTCAGCTTATCATTATCCATAACCTAAGAAATTAAGGGAGACAAAAAATTCAAGTCAAAACACTTCAAAAAAGAAACTCAGAGATCAAGACCAGAAATTAGGTACCTGTAAAATTAATATAACATGTACATAGACATTGAAGACCATGGTCAAATATATAGTAACTTGAGTCACATTTCTTAAAAGATTGATGCTTCCTTGAAGGGGAAATATAAAATAAATCGAATTGACTCAATCTTAAAGAACTAAAAGCAAAGCAGAACATGGTATGACAAAGAGAACAAACATCAACAATATCAAACTGATAGATTTCATTTCATTTAATTCAAGTTTGGTAAAGAGACATTCAGGAACGGACTCCATACACCCCTACATGAAAATGCTCATTTCCTGTTTGTTTCAGTTCTTCGAATAAAAACAAACTAGACCTTATTTGCAACCCCCTCACAAATGATAAAGGGAGAATTGATGAGTTGTTGGAGTTGAAGGTTGGTGATAGTTCATTCAATGTCTTGGTGCATGAAGTTGATCCTTCCTTCAAACCTAATTCTTGGGTCCCTGAAGATTGCGATATTTCATTTGATCTTATTCCTCCTATTGGATTGTGATGTTTCGGCAGCAGTATTCAGAGGTGTTTTCTAGTTTGGGGTTGTAATTGTTGGTTTTTATTTGACTATGTTATCTTATATCAGAGATAGGGTTTGTCTTAGGTCGTTTTGTTTGAAGATGTAAGATTTCTAGGTTTTTGGTTTGTAATGGCATATATTCCCGTATGAGGGATCGGTGTTACCAATTGTACTTGGTTTACTATTTAATAAAATATGAGGTACTCTTTTCTCCCTTCCAATGTTCTTCAACATACTCCTAAGTATGTGGAAGAATACGAAGGGAGTTTTTAATGAGACCTCCAACTTCTATAAAAAAAAAAAAAAAAAAATTGCAACCCCCTCGGTGACCAAGTAAAAAAATTGGAAAAGGAGGCATTACGAGTTAGATGCACCCCTAGGCACTATATGTAACTCCTATCATGCTATTCTAATTTATTATATCTCACTGCAACACAACAAAAACAATATTCCAAATCTTCAAGATAAAACAGCCGAGGTACATGCATACAACTATTCAATAAAAAAAGTGTGCATCTGTCTAAATGCATAAGCAAAAAGAATATTGTACCTTCCATATAATAGCTGTACAGTCACTTGAGGAAGAGGCTAAATGCTCTCCATTATTTGAAAATTGTATAAACCAAACTTCATTGCTATGTGCAGTCAAAATCTGCAGACGTAAGACACAAAAGGGGCCATGATAAAGCTCAAACATTCACAATAACAAGCCAGAACCAGGCAGTTGAAAAGGGAAACTCAAAAATTGCATGTTTCACAATGTATAAATCAGCGCAAAGGGGAAGTAACTTGTTAAATGTTCTCATCTTAAGGTGGGAGAAATCATCTTAAAGAAAGATCGTAAATACCACTGTATTCTCAAATAAAAGAATGATCTAGTGGCTATATATCAGTTGTTAAACTGAGAATTTATAAGATATTTTAGTGAAGGGCACCACACTGAAGTCATTCTTCTCAAAAAACTGCATAATATTATTTATTATAAGCTTTCACGCAACCATAATTTGAAATTCTAGAACCATAGGCATAACGCTTTGACTCCCTTCAGGTCACTCGAAGTATAACAACATAAATTGACAGGAAGTTGTACTCATAATGTAGTTTATAGATAAGATTATACATGAATTTACTAGATAAAAATATAAAGGAGTTTGTTTGTTCCTTTAAGGCGTAAGCAAGTTTCGCAACATAATGAGGGCAGTTATTTTGGTTGCCCCGGTATTACAATAAGAACAGTAATAGCGATAAATCACCAACATATTGCAATATTATGCTCTTTGGCTTCTCTTCATTGCTCCAGTATACCATAAAAATAAAATATAATACCTTTAAATTTCTTATTTGGTTCAACACAATAAACTGCAATCTTGACAAACTGTTTCCACCACACCAAGCCATCATCTTAATAGAAGACAAGCAAATATGGTCTTGATATGCGGGTTCCAATTAACAAAGAAAAAAAATATACAAGTTATGGATAACTTGTAAATTCATCAACACCTCATGGTTTAATACCAAGATGAGTGAATGAATACATAATATTCCAAAGTTGAAGTATCATTACATGGATACAACAGGCTGAATCGTCATTAAAAGAAGCTTCATGTTAGCATTTAGGATATTGGCCTCTAGTCTTTGTTCCACCAAATCAGAAGCTTATTGTTGTAACATTATCAAATATGTAGATAGTAAACATTTAAAAATTTATAAAAGTGACACGTAATGGTCGGATTTAATGGCCTTTATGACATAGTCACCTAAAATTATAAAAGAGAAAACGTTAGACACTTACTTTTAGAAAAAAAATCTTTAGGCACCTAAAGTTAACTGTATAGTTTGGGCACTTATTTTTGCATTAAGCCTAAAGATTAACAGAAAACACCATATTACATATCCAAACTGAAACATTGTGTTCATAACTTTGCATCCCCTTTTTTCTTCATTTCTCGGAAAGTAAATAGAACCTATGATTCATAGTACGAATAAAGTATTGACTGCAACAAGAAGCATACCTGAACTGTTTCTGTTGGTATCTGATCTATGCCACAGCAATGATCCTCATAAAGCGAAACTGGATCCCGGGAATTATGATATATACACGACTCAATTTGAGCTGTTACGCTAGTTTCAACCAGATGTTCTAATCGTCTCTCAGGCAATACAGTTGGCGGAGGAAGCTGTTTCCTTAGCTCCATAACTAACCTTTTTCGCAGTTCACTGATAACATCTTCATCTAACTTATCCATATCTTTGAATGACAGTATATTATAAGCTAATTTGTGAACTGTTTCCTTGCTCATGTTTAAGGTGGGAACCTGTTTTTGCAAAACTGACAAAGCCGAAGAATCATCCCCGATATTCAAATACTCCAGAAAACA